GCTGCTCCAGAGGCGACATCTATGGTAAAGGTGGGAGAGCAGCTGGATTGGTGGGCTCAGGAGATGACTATATCGAGTTGAAAAGCTGGAGTAGTAAGGCAGGTGTAGGGGTGTGCACCCGTATCTCCAGAGCTTTCGAGGTTGAGCTAGGAGGATCGTGAGCCATCCTGGGCTGCTTCTGAGCCTGCCCTAAAAAAAGATGACAACCCTCAACAAATCAACTAAACACAAAAGGCACAGGAAGAAGAGCATCCCTCCTGGGCTGGGGTGGAGGTGCAGGTCAGCCAGGAGCATAGCATGGTCCCTGCATGGAGCAGCCTGGGCTTGATCCACTGTGGCATTCTTAGTTCCAGGAATCTTACAGTCCTACTCATTAGCTCATCAGTCAGGGCCAGTTTTCCTCGGCTAGGACTTGGTGATAAAGAAATACTGCAGATAAAGTTAGTATTCAAAGGATATGTATTAAATAATATCTTGTTGAGAAACACAGTAAAACAAGGTTACCTATTGGCACATTGACAGAGAGGACCTGAGGCTCACAGGAACCTAACCCCATGTTTCCCTTCAGTGCAGTGGCTCACTACTCAGTAATCTAAGGTTTGCAGAACATCTGGGAACAAAATCACAAATAATCATGAGCATTGATGGTGCAGGCCCATTTCTATCGTTTGTAAGGTCCCGATGTAGAAAATGTGGGGTGTCTTTGAGTTTGGCAGAGACCTGTGCTCTTGTCTCAGATGGGCGGTAAGTCAGGAGTTAGGGTGCCAATGTCCATGCTCAAGAAACTTTCACAGAGCCAGTAGCCTTCGTGTTCTTGCCTTGAGAATTTGAAGAACGAAATTCACATACAGTGGGTGAGTTTTAGGGAGAAGTTTATTATAGATTAATAGGTGGAAGTAAAGAGAGAACGAGGGGTCAGAGAGCAGGATCCCAGGGGTTCAGGGATGACGTACCACTGAGATGTCGTTCTGAGGGCTCTTGGAAAAACTTACAACAGAAAGTCGTGAGTGAGTCGTGGGGAGGAGGATGAGCCAGTCAGGTCAGCTGGCCCAGCTACAGGTGTCCAGCTGCCTCTTCTCAGTAGGTCACCATGTCACACATGGCTTCCAGGCAAGGGTAAGAGATAACAGGAGACCAGGGAACCAGGACTCTGTTCTGGTATTCCTGGCCTGCAGCAAGGACATTCATTATCGGGATTGTTGTTTTGGGGTGCCTGCCCTGCCTGGCTGGTTCTTTGTCTTACTCTAGTTGGTTCCACTCCCATTCAGTGTTGAGTGGTGGGTATAATGCAGATGAACCCATGTTTCTGCAACCAAGCTGGCTTTAGAGCTACAGTTCTGGTAAAGCAACAGAGGCCGATCAGGGGAAAACACCTTCCTCCAGTAATCAGAATGGTCTGGTAGGGGCCTGACATTCTAGTTGGACAGGTCAGTCCCCTGGCTAAGGGACTCCTCAAGGAAGTAGGGCCACCTTTAGCCATGCTAAACAGATAGGATGAGTCACGATTGCTTAAGGAGATACTGTACTTTTTTTTTTTTTAAACCAAGAATTCCTGGCCCCTAGCATAGTCCCTCCAGAGTCGCCATTATTTTCTCCCGGGTCTGCTTGCCTTTCAGAAAAATTAACTTTCTTTTCTCTTCTAGCTCCTCAGGAGCTGGCCAGAGCCTCAGTGTGGTTTCTTTGGTACTTTTTTTTCTTTCCTTTTTCTCTCAAGCTTGCCCCCCCCCCCCCGGCACCTCCACCAATGTGGCTGCTTGTCTGCCATGTGGCTGACCTCTAAACTGGCTTTGGAAAGACGTGACTTTTTCTCCTTTTATTTTTATTTTCCCTCCACCTTCTCACCTTCTCCTCCTGGGGTAGGAAGTTGTTGAGAATCGGACTGGGGATCCTGGTTTCTTTGCTGCCTGTGATGACTCTGCTGAGACTCCCCCCCCCCACATTTGCAGTAGCAATACTGGAAAGCCAAGTGTCAGTTGTGCACACGGAGGGGGTGAGCCAGATTCACTAAAGTGGCCTCATGGCTGGGATATCCTGTAGCCACCTGCGGCCACAGACGAACTGGGTTCACCTGAAAGGGGGGCTGGAAATGAAAAAGGCGGGGGATGGAGAGGCGAGAGAAACATGAAGCCAAGACAAAGTTTTCTGATCAAGGCTCGAAGTTTAATATTCAGCTCTTCTAATTTAAAGGGAAAGCCCCACTGAAACCCTTCTTGTTTCAGCCGGGAGATGGGTGGGGGAACTCATCCTTTGTCACTGCGGGAGATGTCTCAAGGCAAGCTCAGTGGGCAGTCTATTCTTCTAAGTTCCTGTAGGAGGTTGTACAAGCAGCCAAGGTGGGTAATTCCACCTAGGTCCTATTATTTGGTCTATTGTGGTAAACAAGGTCTTTCAGCCCTGCTCAAGGCTTGGGGTAGGGCACAATATCTGATGGAAGCTTCCCATGATCCCCGGCTTGGCAACGCCCCCATGATTCAATGGTAGGTTTTATTTTTGGCTCTGCGGCAGCACACATTCATTTTCATTTTTTTTTTTTGTGCCACTCCACTTGGCCTGTGTGTGTGTGTGTGTTTGTGTGTTATTGCGTGCGTGCATGGGTGCTCACCGTCTATTTTTATCCTTTTGTGTTATAGCTCTGAGAATTCATAGTTGATGGTAGTTTTGATTGTTTTGTGACCAATATCAAAAGACAAATGGTTTCATGTTTCAGGATTTCATGTTTAGAATGAAGTTAGAACTCACCTGAGATCTGTGCTTCCCAAGAAACATTCGTATCCTGTGGTTGTGGCAGCAACAATGCCGTGTGCATGATCATCTCCCACTATGGAGATGGAAACAGACTGTTGAATTCTTCCTTTGCTGATGAGAGTAGAGCCTGTGTGTAGTGCGTGTGTATGGCGGGCTGGCAGCAGAGTTGGGATTTTTTTATGGGCTCTATTATACCACTATGGCTTTACAAACCTTTAGCAGAGCGGCTGGAGAGAGAGCACAGTGGTTAGTGGTAAGGAGTGCTTACTGCTCTTGCAGAGGACCTGGACTCACTTACCAGCACCCACATCAGGTGGCTCACAGCTGTCTGTAACTTCTTGTTCCTGGGGAGCCCAATACTCACGGACCCTCAGAGAAATCTGCACATAAACTCACGCTGGCACACACATTGATTTAATACAAACGAACCTGTAGATGAGGCAGGCGTGCCTTAGCTAAGGGCGTATTCTTTTTCTCCAGTTGAAAGAGGGGGTCACCAACCCTCCCACTACAAATTTTTGACTACAAATTTTGTCCTACCTACAAGATGTTCAGGGATAAAGATGGAGGAGAGACTGAGGGAATGACCAATCAATGCCTGGCCCAACTTGAAACCCATCCCATGGGTCAGAGCCAACCCCTGACACTATTAGTGATATTCTGCTATACTTGCAGACAGGATCCTAGACTGTCTCCTGAGAGGCTGTATCCAGCAGCAGATGGAAACAGATGCAGAGATCCACAGCCTAACATTAGGTGGAACTCTGGGAGTAGAAGAGTGGGGGAAAGGATTGAGGGAGCTAGAGGGGTCAAAGACACCACAAGAAGACTTAGAGAGTCAACATGGGGCTCACGGAGACTGAGCCACCAACCAAAGAGCATGCATGGGCTGGACCTAGGTCCGCTATACATTTGTAGCAGATGTAAGGCTTGGTTTTCCTGTGGGTCCCCTAACAATTGGAATGTGGTGCTCTGTCTCTGACTCTGTTGCCTGCCTTTGGATCCCCTTCCCCTAGCTGGAGTGCCTTGTCTGGACTCAGTGTGACAGGATGAACTTAGTCCTGATATAACTTGATGTCCCAGAGCTGGTGCCATGGGGCTTCCCCTTCTCTGAGCAGAAGGAAAAGGGTAGTGGGGGGAAGGGGTTTGTGAAGGTAAGCATGGGAGGAAACAGAAGAGGAGGGCTGCAATCGGGATGTAAAGCAAATGAATACATTAATTAAAAAAAATACAAAAAAAGAACATGTCCAAGGCTCAGAGTCATCTGTGATTATGAATGCATGATAGTCTCCCAGCGGATGAAAGCATTCTTATCAACTCTCCACTTCCTGTCCACTTAACAAAAGTAAAGCATAATTAGTAAGTTTGCTATTTGATTAAGATAAAACAAATTTGTTTTTTTTTATAACATCCAGATTAAAGAACAATAGAATATATGTTTGGAATACCTCTATTACTGTTATGCCTTAGACCCAAGATACCTTAGTATCCAAAGATTTACTGATATTATTATTTTAATTTTTATGACTTCTTTCTTTCTTTCTTTCTTTCTTTTTCTTTCTTTCTTTCTTTCTTTCTTTCTTTCTTTCTTTCTTTCTTTCTTTCTTTTTTTTTTGGTTTTTCAAGACAGGGTTTCTCTGTATAGCCCGGGCTGTCCTGGAACTCACTCTGTAGACCAGGCTGGCCTCGAACTCAGAAATCTGCCTGCCTCTGCCTCCCAAGTGCTGGAATTAAAGGTGTGCACCACCACTGCCCGGCAAAAATGTGTACCCCAGGCTGGCCTCAAACTCGTGATCCTCCTGCCTCTGCCTCCTTCAGCAAATCCTACCAGTGTGCGCCACCACTACCGGCTAATGACTTCTTAAATACAATCTATTTTGATCATATTCTTTCTCTCCCCCTGCCTCTTCCCAGAGACTGGTCTTTTTTCATGTTTGTGTGTCTGTCTGCATGCATATACCTTTCAACGCCAGAAGGTAGCATCGGGTCACCAGGCACTGCGTGTACAGGCAGTGTGAGCCACTATGTGGGTGCTGGGAATGGAACCCAGGTCCTCTGGGAGAGTGGCAAGTGCTCTTAAGCACTGAACCACCTTCCCAGCTCTGATACCCGACGTTAACCAGCCATGAATATCTTTGGACATCTATGTGTTTGGAGCCAAAGGGGTTAACCTCATGGAAAACTACCTTCTAGAGACATCTTCCTCATGAAGCAAGCTTTCTACTTACAGAATGAATCATGAAAATGCACATATATTTTATAGAAAATAGTAAATATTTAATGTATATAAATTTATCTGCCTTGGCAATTATTTATTTACAATGGATGATTGATACCAACAATTGAGGTAAAAATATACATGAGGTATAAATATAATATTTAAATGCAATATTTTTTTATTTCCATCAGCAAGATAGCAATGAATAAAATACTGTGGTTTTTAACAAACAAGCTTGATGCATCACTCCCCACCCTTTCCTTTAAGATACACCCTGTGGTTAGCAGAAGTGATGTAATTGGTATGTTCATAAAATCAGAAAGTCAGCTAAGCTGGAAGAGTAAGGGGCTGAGAAAAAATACAATCCTATCGTTTTATTCCGTTTTAGTATTCCCCAGGTCCTTGTTTCTCAAAGTGTGTCCTTGAGGCCAGCACCCTGCATCCCTTCAACTCATTAGAAATATAGAACACCCACATGGCCTGGATTGGAGCATGTTAACAAGGTCTTTAGGTGATTCCCAGTGCATGCCAAACAAGTATGCTCCTTGAGAAACAACACCAGTCATCTTGGGGTGCCCACTCTGGTTTCCAATGCATAGTGCCCCAATGTGGAGCCAGACTAAGCTCTCCTGATGATCTTGACAATACCTAAACAGTCATCCAGCATGGCAGGCATGATGTACTGGCAGAAGTGAATTTGTCCAGTCCACAGAACGTTGCCCAGGAGGCAATTTGTGGTCTGACTGCCACTCTCCCAGGTAGAGAGTGAAAAACTCCTACCCTTTCCCTGTGCCATACCAAATATACAGAAAACATCTTTATTCCTCACAATAAAACGGTTGCACACCACAGATAAAAGAAAACACTGCATCAGTGTATATAACAGAACAGCAACAAAACCCTGGGAAATACACGTTTGTTTTTTTCCTTGTCTTCCAACACCAGTTGCTGAATTAGGATATCAATCTCTGTCTAGACAACCTAAGATAATCTTTCCTGGAGGCCAGACATAATAAGTTATCTCTCTACAGATGTTGCATCACAATAAAAACACAACAAGTCCATCCTCACTTGGTTAGGGAAAACCAGTTTGCTGAGTCTGTACAATAATAAATAAGGTTGGGGTCAAACGCCCAGGTGCTGGTGCTGGATAACGAAGAAACACGGGATTCGCACGTCAGCCGGAAACTTTTATAAATAAGGATACAGTTTTGGTCTCCTGTTTAAAACCCTGTCTTTCAGATAGCAAGATTTTTAATGGCTTAGATTTTTAAGAGCGTCATCTATTGGATACTTGGAATTCCCTGAAGCGGTGATCACCCTGGACGCTTGATGGACGGTCATCTCACTTTGGTGTCCAGAGTCAAGGTCAGTGCAAGAACGTGTTAAATAACTGTGGCCACATAGGCCACTGGTCAAATAGATGGTTAAAAAGCATGATGACAAGAGGATATTGGGCTCCCTTTGGCTCTGTGGACAGGTTCCACTGTTTACCCCTATGTAGGGGGTAGGTGGTACCAGTTTTATTTCAGTCCCTGGTGCCAGCACAAGCAGTCACCTGACATCTCACTCAAACTGCATAAGGTGGGCCCAGAGGCAACGCAAGATCCAGCCTTGGATTTGGCAATAACCTCTAACCTGCTGCTTTGTGTTAAAGAGAAGCAAATATTATTTCCCTCAATTTATGTCAACACCCTGCTCCAGTCTTTAAACGTCAGAAATAAGAGGCCAACCCGTGGAAGAAGCTTTTAACTCTATTTTTCTTTGGTTAGCTAATCTTTGGGTAAGCATGAGCAGGCTGACAGACTACACATTTCACGCTTTGGTGTTTGTCAGCCGGCTCTGCTCAGCTGGGGGGACTGGAGGGACATGGGGGTCTACGGCGACCTGGGAAGTGCCATGTGAGGAGACTCACAGAGTCAGACACTGAATTATCTATAAAACGAGTATTTTACATATATACAGTAAAGGGTGATATACATACATATACAAATGCTACAGTAAACTTATTTACAGCTAAGACACGCTTCTTAGAAGCCTTTAACTAGCAAATTAGGCAATGCGGAAGGAATAACCCATTGATTTTAAGCAATATGTTCTGAGACATTATATTAGTAGGGATTATGTATCTCCAGGCAGGCTAGGAACGGGCTCCACGGACTCCGTGATCTCTGCTCCCACTGCGACATTCCTTCACGTTCGTGAACTCGCCACACCGTGAGTGTTCTTTTCCCTTCTTGTTCCCTGAGTTTGATGTCACGCTGGGGAAAGCTTAGATTTTTGTTTCTGGACCCTCAGCAACGAGAGGCTGGAAAGAGTTCCTAATTCTGGCAACTTCTGCAGCACAGAGGTGTCCGAAGCCTTTGCTGTACCATTCTGGGGAGTGGCCCCTGCCGGGAGAGAACAAAAGGGAAATGGGAACCCTGTTAGGGGGCGGGGCCGTCCACAGGCTTGCGTCATCAGTACCCTGGGAACAGCCTGCAGCTGCTGCTTCAGCATCTGTGGCCTGCAGTCTTTCACCCAGTGATTTTCCACCAAGCATTTTGTCCTTAAAGTTCATCAGGTGCTTCAAAATGATACCAGCTTCTCAAAGTGAACCAGAAGACTCACACTGAATCAGGAGATGGTGGCACAAGCCTTTAATCCCAGCACTGGGGAGGCAGAGGCAGGTGGATCTCTCTGTGAGTCTGAGGCCAGCCTGGTCTACAGAGTGAGTTCCTGGACAGCCAGGACTACATAGAGATACCCTGTCCTCAAAAACCAAAACCCAAAAACCAACCAAACAAACAAAAAAATCTCAGCCCTCTCCCCAAAACCAATAGCAAAACCCCACTAAGTTTATAGCTACCTCAGCATAGAATTCAGTTTTAGCATCATGAATGCCTTTAAGTGTTCAATTCAATTTAAATTAGGAACAGAGGAGGAAACAGGCATAAAAGAAACCCGGGAGGGCCCGAAGAGAACGCTTGGCCAATAAAGAGTTTGATCCAGAGTACCAGTCCTCATGAGGAACGCCAGAGGTGGCAGAAACAGGATGTTTCTTGAGGCTCAGAGGCCAGCCAGTGTAGCCAATCAGTTAACGCCAGGCTAAGTGACAGATTCTGACTCCTCCCCACTCTTACTCTGGATACCCACACAGAGCAACTGAGAAAGACATCTAGCATCGAGCCCTGGTTTCCCCATGGGCACATGCATATACTATGTACACATGAATAAAAATAAGAACATAACATAAGAGATTAGAGTCATTTACTGAGCCTCCACGTACCTGTGTGTTCTGCATGTGTCCTCAAAATAGAACACGAGGCCACTACCAGGTGATGTGATGACTCCACTGCTGGGAACGTACCCAGAGAAAACAAAGTGAGCCTATGATTCATGCTCACTGCAGAACTATTCAAAAGAGCTGGGCTGTGAACAACCCTAATTGTGCAGCACTAACTCAGAGAAAGCAAATGTGGTATGTATGTGTATATATATATATATATGTATATATATATGTGTGTGTGTGTATACATACATATATATGTCTATATCAGCTGTTCTCAACCTGGAGGTCTCAACCCCTTTGATAAAGCGCTATCTCTAAAAATATTTGCATTTTGATTCATAACAGTAGCAAAATTACAGTTAGGAAGTAGCAATAAAATAACTTCATGGTTGGTTACCACAACATGAGGATTAAAGGGTCACAGCATTAGGAAGCTTGAGAACCACTGGTGTCTGTCTGTCTGTCTGTCTGTCTATCTATTGAACCATCTATCTATCTATTACCTATCTGATAGTTCTTAGTCTGAGAAAGGGAAACACTGTCATTTTTACCACAATGAAGCTGAAAGATGTTACTATGTTCAACATAATAAGCTAAGCACACAATGCTGACTACTGCCCGCTCCCATCCCTCGGTGGAGTCTAGAAACGTGGAACTCACTGAATCACAGGGTAGGGCAGTGCTGACCAGAGACCTCACAGAGTTAGGGCTGCGGAGAGAAATAACTGATCAACTGAGGCAACGCTTCAACTCGACTGCAGCTCTAAGCAATCTTGATGGCTATACTTTTCTTATCAGGAATTTAAAGATTTGTGTGCCACTGCGCTGTAACCAACTCATGGTAAGGTGAATCTCCTCTGACCACTGACTGAGTTGATCTGCTGGGGTTCATGTGCCCCTCTCATCAATTCTGAGATATAGGCAGCTTTAACTAATAGTTACTTTCCTGTGCCAGAGAAGAACCAGAAGAGTTTTGGGAGCCTCTGTTGACTTTCATTCCTGACATTCTGTCCGCTGACTCTAAGGACCACTGTTCCTTGCAGTTCCACTAGGTTGACTTGCTAGCTCCAGGAGTGACCATGTGGTATTTGTGTGACTGAAGGGAAGGGGAAACAACATGTTCTTGATCACGGTTGGTTGGATATTTTCATAGCCTGACTTGGTGATTCTGTCACGTGGACATACGTCGTGACATCCTTCTGCATGTCACAAACACCACACGCTTACTTGTCAGTGAAAAGAAATGAATGTTAGAAAACAAAGGAAAACAAAGGAAAGCAAATTCCGGGGTGGGAAGGTGAGAGATGAGGCTGTGTGGTCCTCTGGGGAAGCTGGCTCTTGGTGAAGAAGAAAGAGACCAGAGGAGAAAGAAACCAGTGACAAGCAGGGCTCAAGTGCACACACCATGTGACCTGAGGCTCCCTGGCCAACCAACACCCAGTGTGGCCACTTACTTCAGGTCTATTCTGCAGATGTGGGTCAGCCTGGACTTGCCAGAACCGCAGGGTTCTATCAGATACTGAGAGTCCATCACCACCGCCCGCACTCCACCCATGGGCTGGGCATCTTCATGCTCCACAGACAGGGACACCAGGGTGCACATTCCTTTGGGCAAATCAGTCTTCCAGGTCCTGAAGCCAAACAAGCCACACATGAGAGTGATGTAAAGAGAGACAGGAGACCCTGAACACACAACACTTACATCCTCCTGCCTCAAAACTAGGCTTAACTCCAAGGCTAGGTACTTGGATTAAGCTAATGGTTTCCATGAGCTTGTATAATGTTTACACAGTGAGGTTCAGAGGATGAATCTCAGCTTTCTACTCAGAGGGTAGAAGCTCCCAGACCTGAGTTTAGAAACCCCAAATTAAGGCCCCATCTTTGTCTGCTAAAGAATCCCCTGCCCATCATCAATTCTGAGTCAGCACTATTCCTTCAATTGTTTTATCTGTCTATTGAGCACATCCATGTGCTGGGCCTGAGAAGCCATGGGGGACATGAAGATGCATTCAGCCCAAGAGGAGAGACAAGTAACTCTAAAAGAACCCTGAAAACACTGTGAGAAACACAGTGTGGGTCTAGGTAGAGCTGGGACCAGGAGATGGGGGCAGATGAGGATTACAGGGAAGGCTTCCTGGAGGAAGTGGTCAACATTTTAGCAAACAGGATCTGCTGATGCCTCATTTAAAAGAAACTGAACCTATGTCAATGTCATAGCTTTGTTCAGAGAGGTGAGTAGCTCTTGAGTGGGAGAAGAAATACATGGAGCTGATTTGAGTTCATGGAGAGGTAGGGAGGTCACCACGGCCTAGTAGTAGAAAGCTGTCTAACTGGTACACCATCCATGGATGGCAAGGGCCCCACGGTGGATTCGTCAGATGCGGCTCTTGGGTTACCTGGTTAATGAGTTACTGGAGGTGTGGCTTTTCCATGGTAGCAGCTTTTTGTGGTAGGGTTGCTCTGTCCCACAATGCCCTTTGTCATGCTATGACCTGGTGTTCTCAGACTGCTCAGCCTCCAGACTCAAGAGCCAAATACATATCTACTCTCCACATTTCAGACTGTTTCAGATTGCTTTATCATAAGCTACAGAAAACAAGTGAAGATACTTGAAGCGGGTTTGAGTTTGGGAGGTCTGATATGTCAGATAGACCGCATTGTCTTCACCCTGCAAGTTCTTTCTCTAGGGTATTTCTGCTGGCATGAGCGAGGTCTGCTGCTGAGTTTGCCCACAGAACTTCAGTCTACCTCCCTCCCTTCTGCTTTCAGCCTTGGCAATATCAAAATTCCACCCTCCCTATCTCTTCACATTACTTATTCCCTCTGAGATGAAGTCAACCTGTATCCTTTTCTTATTACTTACTGTCTGCACCAAGGAATATATGAAATGACTTTGAGGGGATGGCTTAGTTGGTAAAGGGGCGTAAGCATAGGGGACTGAGTTCGATCCCCAGTACTGATATAAAAAAAGCAGGCACACTTGTAATCTCATCACTGGAAAGAAAGGTGAAGGCAAGATGTTGCCCGGAGATTTCTGGCCAGTCAGTTTTGCCTAATAGTGCTGGGTCCCAGAGAGAGACCCTGTCTCAAAAATAATGACGTAGGTGGCTCCTAAGAACAACAACCAAGACTGACCTCTGCTCTGAGCACATGTGTGCAGGCATGTATACACACACACACACACACACACACACACACACAAACACACACACCTCTTCTTCTCCCCCTTCCTCCTCCTCTTATTCCTCTTACTCTTCTCCCTCTTCCTCCTCCCTCCCTCTCTCTTTCTCTGTTTCTCTCCTTTTTTCTCTCAGAAATCTAAACTGAAGAGGAGACCAAGATGGGTCTGTTGTGTCCACCTACAGCCTCCTCAGAGCCAGAAGCTATGAGTAGCATGAGGCATGATGGGATGTTCTATAATAAACAGCGGGCTAGTGGGATGGTTGGGAAGACAGAATGAAGAGAGTTCCCTGCAGGGACTCCCCCGTCTCCATAGCTTCCACCCTGGATGACAACAACTTGTTTTTCTACTTGTTCAGTTAGACAATTCAATTTTAATGCCACGAGATGAGTGATGCTCTAATAACTGGACATAGGGCCACCCCCCCCCCCCCAGCTAATGACCTATATTCTCTACCAGGACAAGGTTGCTGGAATACACACTGTATCTGTTTAGGAGAAACAGATACCTAAAAATTGAGGTTCCCAAGTATCCAAACCAAAGGCACAAAGGACTCATATGAAGTCACCTCTGGTTTGCCCTCAAAACTCGCTTCATAAGGCGACTATTTCAAATACACATTTGGGGATTTCCCAGGCAAATCCTCTTACACTGCTGATCTTGGAAGAGATTGTTTACTTGCGTTTTTAATAAAAGGGATATATTGCTCTAATTACATTTTGTTCATGTTCTTAATTCTACCCAATCCCTGCTCTTGCAGGTGAAACAGTGAATTTCTGCTGTGCACACTTTCTGTGATTGGCTGAACATCCCACTCCAAGGCCAGAGGGCAGGGGGTCTGGGACTAACCCTGAAACCCACCAGAAACAACATTTCAACAGCACACACAAGGCTCTGGAGGTTTTGCCAGGACTGAATTCTAACGGAATGCCCAGTGTCTCCGTATACTTGGCCTTTCAGGGCTGAGCTGGAATTTCCATGCATGGCAATGAGTTGTGAGCATGTGAGGTCACACCCTCCTGTCTCCGAGTTCTCCTAGATGAAGACCTGCTTTCGTCTCCAGGGAGAAAGACAAAAAACCAGTCGACCTTTTTGCATAATTTGGCAGCCAAACCTGACAGACAGCAGCTATTCTGGAGCCTAATACACGGTGCAGCTCAAGGAGAGGGGCCATCAGAGAGCCTGGGCAGAGATGTAAATTGGGTGAAGGTGCCAGAAGGCAGGCATAAATAAGGCAACACTAGAGAGGATTGGGCTTAAAGCCCCACGGCAGGCTGGGAGAAACGTTTGCATTGGCAACTCTCATCCTGCCTTTGGTGCAGGATTCCGTACGCCACAGGACCCAGCTTACCTGAGAACCACGAAGTCTCTGGAGGGATGTGGAACCATGCTGTTTAGCACATACTGGTAGATTTCTGTTTGTCTGTCCAAAGTTTCCACAACCTTCCACTGCACAAAGTCCTCATCCCACAGGTGGCGTTCTCTCAGCACACGGTTCAACACCACGGAGGGTGGTGCCTCCACCTCCACAGATGCCTTCCACAGCTTCAGCGGGTTCCCGTCCCCTACCTTGGCAAAGACATGGGCAGGAGCTGAAGAGGTTACCCTGGGGGCTACGCAGACCTACCTCCTATGCTGGGCATTCCAAAGCATCAGTGGTCATTTAAAGTGAACGGGTGATGCTGTCCCCAGAGTTAAAATGCAGATACTTCAGCCCTCAAACTGATGAGAAAAAAATGATAATCAAAAAAGTCGCAGACACGAACACACTCCAGTGGCGTGAGGCAGGCATGCTCTAGCCCACTTGACTTTTACGTGGTTCTCCTCTGCCAGACACTCTTAGAATGTTCATTTCACATATGAAAAATGCTGGGCACTGATTTTCCTGCACCACACAGAAAGGAGCACAGACCCGACTGGGATCCAGAAGCCCTCCTTTTCAGTCTGGGTTCTGATGGGACTGCTGTTGGTAGCTTTCAAACAGGGCTTTTGATTGGCACCCAGGCCTTAACCGTCAGTCACGAAGGTGTCACGTCTTGCAATTAAACACACACTTTGCAGCTGAGGGAACCTTACCTTTTTGAAAGCAAGGTCTGTGTTGTCAGGGCTGGAGCATGCGACCCATCCCTTGAATTTCTCCTTAGCCTCTTTCTGGAGGCCTTGGACAAGATGCTCCAGGTACGTGTGGAAAGTCGCTCCGCTCTCTGCCAGCTGCGCTCCCAAGTCTTCCAGGCTGGGCGCATGGATGTCAGCCTCTAAGTAGGAGTTCCGAGACTGGGCCACCATCTCGTGTGGAACCTGGGCCAGTGAATGCATGAGAGAGCAAAACAGTGAGCGGAGAAATGCTGCGAGTCACAGGGATCCAAGTCACCCTGTCCACCATCAAGGTCCAAGGCTAGGAGGGACCTTCCTAAAGCTAGGAAACACAAATGTGACTCCGAGCCCATGTTTATCCAAAACACTGGGATACGTTCCTGATCCCGTGTTCCATTCCTTTTTATAATATTTGGCAAGAGTGGGCTCAGACAACTTCACTCACTCGTACACATTGACACATTGAGGGAAAACTCAGCTATGACTCAGAAATGGCTTCACACTTTTCAGTACAGTTTCTCCAACGACGAATGCCAATATTGCTGCAGAGAGTGTGCCAGGCGTCTCATCCATTTGCCTCGGCGATGCAAGTGTGGCTATACTGATAGGCTGTCATTAATTCTAGGGACAAGGATTACTCAGTCATACTCAATTGCACGCACGCGCGCACACACACACACATATGCAGACGCAGACGCAGAGGCAGAGGAAGACCCTGATCAAGTTTGATGTAAAAATAATTGGCCAGTTGGCCTTAAATCTGACAAAGGAAGGTGACTCCACCGTCTGCATAGAAAACTGTCATCATTGTAAGCCCCAAGAACCTGGGACTGCAAAGCCTTCCTGTATAGCTGGCTCTTTCTAACTCCTGGGAGCAGAGACCAGAGCTACAGCACATACTGTCATCATAAAATGAAGAGATAAGCAGCCTCTCTTTCCCAGCCTGCTCCTAGTTCCAAGACCTCACCTCAAAGAGTCGGTTGCATTCCGTGATCATGTGGGCGAGTCCCTGAGCTGCAGCTAGGTTTTCATTGAGGTCCTTCTGATCTGGCTTCCCAGTGGCGTACTTTTTCTGGATGACTCTGTAATTGAATATGAATGTGCTAAGCAGACCCCCAGCCAAAGAGTGTGTTGGGATACCTAGATCGTCCCATCTGTTTGCCATTTGTCCCCAGATGCTGCCCAGACCTCAGGCTTTCTTGTTTCCAAATTTAAAACAATGACCACACATCTTTTAGATGCTCCAAGGCAGGCTGGCAGGCTGACAGCTCTCAACCAAAAGCCGTGGAAAAATACAAAGACAGGAAGAGCTGTAGGTGGAAAATTATTAGGTTTTTCTCCCGTTTGAAACCTCTCAGCTGCAGGTTCACGTGCTTTGTTGTTTAAATATAGTGTTTAAAAACCAATGATCGGCCTTTTTTTCCGACATCTTAGTGAGGCTGCAGTGGTCCACACTACTCTCTGAGTTTCGCCATGCCGCCCAAAGACGACAAGAAGAAGAAAGATGCCGGAAAGTTGGCCAAAAAAGACAAGGACCCCGTAAATAAATCTGGTGGCAAGGCCAAAAAGAAGAAGTGGTCCAAAGGCAAAGTTCGGGACAAGCTGAACAACCTCGTCCTGTTTGACAAAGCTACATACGACAAACTCTGTAAGGAAGTGCCCAACTACAAGCTCATTACTCCAGCTGTGGTCTCTGAGAGACTGAAGACTCGAGGTTCCTTGGCCAGGGCGGCCCTTCAGGAGCTACTTAGTAAAGGACTCATCAAGCTGGTTTCAAAGCACAGAGCCCAAGTAATTTACACCAGAAACACAAAGGGTGGAGATGCCCCGGCTGCTGGTGAAGATGCATGAGCAGGTTCAGTCAGCTGTACATTTGGGAAAATAAAATTTTATTGAATCAAAAAAAAAAAAAAACAATGATCGTAAAATACCTTCTCGTGTATTTTCCTTCTTCTTCCCATTCAAATAAAATAGAACAAAACTTCTTGGGCTTTCTGGATCTCAACTGATCTACTTTAGGACGATCTTGGTAGTGCTAAGATTACTACCAAGGATGTAGTGATCCAGCCCAGGGATGAGGGCAACTCACTCTACTCCCACAATTTTAATCTAATCCTAATAATCTTCTATCTGAATTCTACCCTGAGAACACTTTTGTTTAATTTTACATATTAGGGAAATGGATCTTGGGGAGATCTGGTTTGGGAATGATACCAATGATGAGGAAAACTCACCTCGGGGAGCTTTCTTTCTTCAGGAGGTTAAGGTGAAAGAGGGAGGGTGCCAGGCACACGGCCAGATTCATGGGCGTCATCTGATTCTCATCCACCAAGTTCACTACGTCATGCAGGAAGCACAGGAGTGTCTGCAGGGCTTCCCGGTTCTCATCAGCCAGCAGCAGGATGGCTGCCTGCACTGCCTGTAGCCGCTGTTCTTTGGGGACATCTGAAGAGAAGTGGGCACCAGGTGTTTAGAAGGATGAGGCAGTGCGGAGGAATGCAGGATCTCCTCTTTCAGACAGAAGACATTCAGAGGCATCAACAGAGTTCAAACTTGAACCTCATCAAACTCTAGAACCCATCTGAGTGTCCTGGAGCTACTCAGACCAAAGTGCCTGCTCTGGCTTCTCACACTCCGAGTGTCATCTGGCTCTGATGTCTTAAGATTGTCTTTTTTGGTGGAAGTTAGACAGATCTATTGGGGCTCTGTCAACCTGACCTCTAGGGATAGCCAAGGCTGGGTGGGACACAGTTGAGAAAGCCACTGTGTAAAAAGACAAAGACCTAGCCCTTTCCCACCATAGTAGAGCCCCAGGCCATGCTGCTTTCTTGGTACAATGAACAGTGGGTGAGCTGTTTGTCCTTGGCCACCCCTACGGAGCTCACGCCTCAGGGGCAAGCATGGTAGATCCTTCCTGTCCCTACAAGTCAGGAGGGCTCAGTTGGGAGAATGTGCTGTTCTGACTCGTGAGTGGTCACTCAGTGTCACCTGTTTGATAATCTTAGGTACACCAGCTTTGAGTTGTGCTTGTGAAAAAGGAACCCGGTCCCCTACAGCTGTGGGGAGTGAATGGGCTCTCAACCTCCCTGAGGAGTGACTCTGGTGGGGGTGATGGACATTTGATTTATAAAGGCTCGAAGACACAAGGTAGAAAATGGGAGAAAAAAAATCACAACAAATTGGGATCGAGGGACTGCATTTTGCAGCTCCCCTGTCTCTGTCTGTTTCATGAACATGCAGGTTTGGTGAATATGACTGTCTTTCTTCAAAGGCCACATCCGGGAGCGGGAGGTCTCTATGAAAGGCTGTTTGTACACCTGAGCCATGGAGCAGTGTGCTCATGACAATCCCTTGACCTTTCACCTGTGCTTTATAATGTGCACACTATTGCAGTGTATATCGCTGTGTCTTTAATGTATTAAAAAGAGACACTGAGATATTTATTACTGGTAGAGGTGTATGATGGAAAAGAATTGCATTGGCTGCTCTAGGTAGTGTAACCTTTGGCCTGCACCCTGGGAGCTGTTTGTCCTGGGCTCTCCTTGCCCTTCTGAGTGTTGTACAGAAGGCCAGCAAATCCAGATTTCTAGGAAAGCATGACTGCTTGTTCGGTGGAGAGCCTGTCTAGTGCATACTGGCAAAGACTGGGTTTTCTAGAGAACATTTTTATCTGGATGATAGTGTAGCTGTTTTTTGTTTGTTTGTTTGTTTGTTTGTTTTGCTTATGCTGAAGTCAGTATAACCAATGATGTAAGTTCACCACATACCCATGAACTGCTTGTAAATGCTGCTCTGTAGGGAAGACGATTCCTGTGTGTATAGATTCTCTAACCGCAGCTGGCCAAACTTTTCTTCCGCTCCAGTTTTTGCTCTCACTGTTAATCTTGAAGTCGCTGGCCTTGTGGATATGTTATTTCTCTTCCTTTTCTCTTCACGTGTTCCCTTGTCTTCTCTGAAGATACATTTACTCTGGATTCTATTCCCTCTGGATGGCAGCTATGTTCACCGTTCAGCCATGCTTTCTGTTACACATGACATTGCTGTCGTCCCTGGGAGATACCTCCAGATTTGCCTTTGTGAGTGCCCTAGTGTGTGGGTGGTGACCTGTCCCTCCCAGTCAGCATGCTTTCCTGACTGAACAGCTATCTCTCTGCATCAGAACCAGCTCCATCTCTCCTTTCCCTTCCAGTGCCCCTCCCACCCCCATCCAGGCTACCATGCTTGAAGTCTTGTTTCTGATCCCTCAGCCTCCTCTCTCTTACAGGCTAAGATCTCTCTTACAGATTAAGATCTTCATGACCCACCCCATACTGCACTCTAGTCATCCGACAGTAGCAAAGAGAGTGACACAGCCATAACGGAGCTACTTTAGAGAGCTGGGAGCCAACCGGGATCTGTATTAGCTAGTATACGCAGACCAGTATACTTAGACTCTGGGTCCTGCCCGTGGAACGTGTTCTCGGGAACCCCAGGAGTGTGCCTCCTCCCTCAGCTTCCACGCTCATCTACTTGATTCCACTTATTCACCGGGTCCAGATTCACAGACCTTGTATCAGTGCTGATGAATTTCACCCTTGTGACTGCTCAAGAGTCTCTCTTCACTTCTTCACTAACAAAATACACGCTCCTTTGGTTATGGGCTGCTTGTGGATACAGACCCCTTCCACTGATCCTGGGATGAACCATGGATCACCAACAGCAATCACTCTGTTCCATTGTCTGCTCCAGGGGGAGTGTAAACCAGTTTTGGCAGGTGAGACCAGGGATGGTGCTCGCTCAGAGTTGCTGAGTGGTCCATGTTCTCCACAAGAAAAGATGCCTGTCCCAGGAGACACTTGGGCTCTCCCTTCTAGCTCTTGAGTGTGACCTTATGAAGATGTGATAATTGTGTAGGTAGTGGCAACTTGCACTTAGTCACAATCTGACTTCAAGAGTGTCAAAGACACCAGAGGCTGGTGTCCTAGCATCCCTGGGCTGTAGATCTACACAACACTGGAATGGTTTAATTTCACGACTGTCACGTGTACTAATAAAATGTTATCATTAAATAACTAGTTGTGTGTATGGAGGTTGGTTCTGTTTCGGGCATTAAATCTTTCAATACCCAGTGAATCATTTATAATTACTTAATAATTATCTAATCATTAATGCCACTGTTGTGTTACCACAGCCTCCTGGTTTATCAGCATCCTCCGGTGCAGTGTTACAGACTTAACATTCATGTCCCGCTGTCTTTTCCTCCTACCAAGTTCCCAGTGCTTACGCCAGCCTTCGTGGATCTGCCTTCCTAACCATTTTTACCTTTCCTGTATCACAGTCATTTATGGTCTTGTCTCATCCACCCCTAGTCTAAGATCCCTAAGAACAGACAGCAGTGGCACATAGTCTAAGCATGCAGTACCCAGCACAGCCCTGCTCTGTAAAGCTGTGTGCAGATAAAATGAAGCCCTGCTTTGATCTGGCTTCTTGGTTGTAAACTGAGGCAAGAGCCAAAAGGTATTTACCTCTTGGAAATAAGTTAGCTTTTGCCATAGATAGTGCCAGCTTAAATGTAAGTATCCATACCCATAAGGAGGCTTAACTGGAAAACAGCATTGTCTCTCTCAGCCACACCACTGAGAGCATACAGCATCGCCTCTCTCAGCCACACCACTGAGAGCATACAGCATCGCCTCTCTCAGCCACACCACTGAGGGCATACAGCATCGCCTCTCTCAGCCACACCACTGAGGGCATACAGCATCGCCTCGCTCAGCCACACCACTAAGCATTCTTTTGGGCTCTAGGATCCGGTATCATTAATTTAGCTTAGCCTATTCACTCTGACCGAATAATATTTATTTAGTGTGTCAGCCTTTTACTCTGTTTTCACAGGTGGCATTTGAAGTATTCTCTATATTTGTACTATTATATACTTCTTAAACACATTTGGTACAGAGTCTCTATAGTAGGGGTCTTCAGACTGGATCAATTCCATCTCACGACCCAATTGAGCCATATTTTGAAGTAAAAAATCAAAGTCTGTGGACTGGAGTAATTTCCCCCTCAGAACTGATACTTGGGCTATGTAGCTGATTGCCAATTTGTAATGACATCATTATCCCATAGAAAAAAAGACCTGCATGCTCATTCCTGATGCCTGCCTTTATAACTACATTTAGCAGAATGGGCTTTTAAATCAAGTGTTCTCTTCATTACTACTTTAGCTCTAGTGGCTTTGTGAGGAACTACTGATTTAACGTCACTTAACATCTTCCAGATGAAAACATGAGTTAGCTGAATGAAGGTGTAACCTCAGTTTGGTTTGCTTCATTTCCCCGTTGAAATGCTTATGCTTTCCTGTTCCTTTTCAGTGTTTATATTACCTTTGAATCTGAATCTTCTATCAAAATTTGTATCAAATTGAATGTTTATCTTTCAACAAAGTAAGACAGGGTTAACATACTCTCTTTCTGTCCCTCTGTGTCTCTTTGTCTCTGTCTCTCTGTCTCTTGCCCACTAAATTCAATTGGATCCTTTTATGCTTTAAATATATTAGAAGCACATTGGAAATTAGCTTGAGATTGTACATAAACATGTACTAAGTAGGCATATGTTAATATTGAGAAGGGATTTTCAGACACATACAAAGAATGACACAGAGATGTCCATAGCAAACTGAGCAAAAGGCTATTTCTGAAGAGGTAGGTTTGTAATTTTTATATACTTCTTCACAGATTCATGTACTACCTGTATCATTAAAATTCCATCTTTTGTGGGGCTAGAGATGTAGCTGAACATCTGAACAGTAGCTGAACGTGCTGACTGTTTTCACAGAGGAGCATAGTTCAGTTCCCACATCGTGGCTCACAACCACCGGTAACTCCAGTTCTAGTGCATCTGATGACCTCTTCTGGCTTCTGTGGGTACTGCACACATGTGGTGTACATACACTCATACAGACATAGTAAGTGAATCTTTAAAATACTATCCTTTTGACCGTTGGCACGCTGTGTTATTGATACTTACACTGATAGATGTGGAGGAAGGTCTCACTGAGCTTGTTGGTGAAAAGGGGCTCAGGGAGGTCCCGGAAGAACTGCTTCACCATGTCTGCCACGTCATACGCAGACTGGTCTTCATAGCTCACATTGTCAGGGAAGTTCTCATTCATCTGACGTAGGGCATGGATTCGAGACTTCACTCCTGACTTGCGGAAAAGACCCACCTGCAATGAATCACAGGGACACGTCACGAGCCGGGTCTCCTTTCTCCTCACAACTTCTTCCTTTGGGTAGTAATCTTGGCTGTGAAGAGGATGCCTGGGGATAGGACAGGCCTCAACAATTCTGAGTTTATCCTACCTCAACAATTCTGAATTTCCAGGATAGCTACTTTAGGTGACAGTTAGGCACTGGTTCCCTTTCATATCAAATTGAGACATGGATGATATCCCACCCCACAGAGCTACAGTGGAAACTCAATGTGTGAGAACACGGATATGCTTTATGAGTTGTAAACTCTTGTGATGGCAGATGGTGTAATCTCACTTTTTTTTTTCAACAAGTACCCATATGTATAAAGCATTCTTATCCTAGAAGTCATTAGTGAGCAGAGAAGGAAAAAACTTCCCCATCCTTTAACATTTGAACTTTCATGGGAGAATTTTGAAATAGGTTTCCCTCCACCCCACCATGGGATGTTTAGTCAAAATTACATGCTTGGAGAATAGAAGCATCCCAGGGACACAGGCATATCCCTTTGGGGAATGCCTCCATGGGGAGCAGGCTCATAAAATAACATTTATAAGCATGTATTCTGAGTGTCTCATTTGATTTTCTTTCTTTGGAATTCGTGGAACCTGCGATGTGTGTTTCTCACCTTCTGCCTGGAACTTTACATATCGGTTGAGGGAGGCACATGACTTACTCCTGGGTAGGTTTTTGTAAATAGTATTGTTATGTGGGAAATATAAAAGAAATGGTCTGTTAAGGAAGAAAAGCTTCTATTTTTAAAAAAAGCATGAAGAAGATGCTTGGTAGAAATTCCAGTTCGTCCAAGGTCAGCACTTCATGAAATCAGGGTTAGACTTGATGCTCAAACCTGTGTTCTGCTCATCAACGGTCCTGTTTTAAACTAGCCGGTAGTGTAAGAGTGTGAGGCTCAGCTCTGTACTGAAAGTGAGGTGTGGGAACACTGTGCCCACTTCAGTGTCGCTGTGCAAGCTCCAGAAGAATTATCTTTTCTTGTCACCTTTTCTAAAGACTATGGAGTGTCGGGCTATCTCCTTTTCCTACACCCCATCATAGCCTTTCATCTTTAGCAGTTTGACTGCTTCCTAACATAGCAATAAGGACACAAAAGACAAAGACCTTAAGAAGGACGAGTGAGTTGAGCAGAGCCCTTATGGTACAATGAAGATGCCGAGAGGAATCAGGTAGGTTAGGTTCAGCACCTCTAGTCCCTCCCACCCAAGACTTGACTTATCCAGATCACAGCCGAGCTTTCCTGGGATCCTGGGCTTCCATATCAAGGCACTGAGTTCTCGACACCCAGACTTTGAGTTTCTGCTCTCCCCTCTCCTCAGTGGCATACAGATTAGCTCACTTCTTTGAGGGCAAGGTGGAATGTTCCTAAGCAGCCCTACAAGTAATCAGTGGTCAGTGGGGTTGCCCATTCCTCTTTCTCATACATATCCAGAGACATACATGTGTATGGTTGTCATACCCTGGTGTCTCTTGCTTGCTGCTATAAACGAAAGCAACCTTAACTTGAAAAAAAAAAGAAAGAAAAAAAGAAAAAAAAAAACTACAGGAACATGGGGAGAATTCCAAGCCATTCGAGGACAGTTGGAGTCCGTACATGTCAGCTGCATAGATCACAGGGGAAATTAAACAAGGGTACATTCTGTGGTCATAAGAACAGAATTCTTAGGAATAGCTCTTTGCATTCCTGGGCTTATCACTGAATTCCACAGATCAAGATATCCAGGCAGATTGCTATTTAATGTGTTAGTTACTTCGTTCCAAGTTTGCAGTGTCTAGAAAATGCCACGTTTGGCTATATTTGGTTGGTTCTCCAATACCAGTCTAAAGAACATTTATTTTTCCCTGGTCTGGCAAGTATTTCAAATTGCATCACAATTGCACAGGAAGAAAGTAGGCACTGTTAAAAGGAAAGAAAGAAAGGGGGGGGAGGGAAGGAGGGAGAGCGGGCGTAAGGAAGGAAGGAAGGAAGCAAGGAAGGAAGGAAGGAAGCAAGCTATGAGGCAGGTGCTTATTGGAATGAGATCCAGTTTCCATTTGCTTACATCCTTGAGTCTGCACGATTCTGGAAGGAGGCTCCAGCCTGTGTACACTCCAGAGACGGGCTGCACTGGGTCACAGTGCCCCGGGGGTGTATTCTTAAGTGTGACTCACAACTATTTATGTCATTTGAAAGGAATTCTTCCCCCACTCCCAGCCCCCCGAGCAGAGGAGCATTGATCAGAGTCTACAGAAGGAATGTTTGTGTTGCTATTGGCCAGCTCGGTCTTTTGGCCCAGTGTGTCCTGTGGCTCTTTGGGAGTCTGTACACATGTACACCCTGGATGAGTATCTTCTTTGAATTGTTCAGATCTCAAGTTTCTTCTTTTGGACAACATTGTGATTTTTATTATTTCAAATCTGCCTGGGGCTCTCTAGCTGCAAGCTCTGAGGTTTGTCTTCTCACTGAGCCCGGAGGATGTCAGGCTGGTCATTGGGGAATTATTCATTCTGTTTCACATTCTGACAGAAACCTCCCGATCTGCCCTCACCTTCCAGGAGAGGTAGGAAATATCTTTGGGTTCGGTGGATTGTATTAGAAGCCTAGAAGGAAATGGCTTTCCTAAACTTAGTAAATACAAAACGGTTTCAAAAATCAGTCCAGATTCTAGGTACGGGACCTAAGAATGGCCCAAAAAACAAAGTCTTCCAAAAGATAGCAGTGAGCAAATGAACAAACAAACCTAGAGTTTCTGTTGTCTGACTCTTAACTTTCTACATGAATGAAGTGGGGAATTCCCTGACTGGTTAGGATTGGGTTTCTGAAGTAGCCGTCAGCAGTGCCTGGGCCCAGTAAGAAGGCTGTAGTTCTAAAGGTCTAGTAGTTTGGAGTCTAGGAGAGGCCATCTGCTACTTGTGAAAGATGCTAATTGCTAATGGCCATTTCTTTGTAGAAAAGCTTTCAATGGATTTGCATTTTGAACCCAAGGGACTTTGTTCTAAGAACAGAAAGTGATTTGTCTGTTTGTGTTTTTGTTTTAAGTGTGCGATCGATCCTCGTTGCGGTTGAGAGGTAACCTAGCCTTCCAGCTCTCTATAAGCACTATCCAAGGCAGATGACAAGGCTTCCGTTTCTGTGGTCACAGAAGGGTGGGTGGGCAACCTGTTGTACCCAGAGTCTGTTTAATGCTCTGGTGTCAGACTTGAATGAGGTCAGGGTTGGAGCGATGGCTCAGCAGCCTGGAGAGCTGGTTGCTCTTGCGGAGGGCCTGGGTTCAGTTCCCAGAACCCAGATGGGAGCTCACAACCCTCAGTAACTCCAGTTCTAGAGGGATCTGATGCCCTCTTCTGGCCCGTGTGGACATCAGGCATGTGCATGGTGCACAGACACACTTGCAGGCAAAAACACTCATGCATGTAAGATAAAAATGACTAAACCTTTTTGAAAAATGAAAGTAGAAATGGACAAGAAAGCGTACATTCTCATTTTATACTGGGTCCCAGAATTTACACACAGGGCTGTTCTTTACACCTCTGCTACTCTCTTTAGGAGACACAGCTGAGGAGAGCCCACGGCAGGCGCGCCTCTCTTGCCTGTGCCCTTGAATGAGAAAAGTGGTGCCCCTTTGGTTACTTCCATTCCTTTTTCTCTTTTGTTTTGGATCCCCAGCTACCTAAAAGCCAGGGCTCGAAGAGTAGTTTACGTAGATGGTCCCGGATCATCCTTCATCCTGTCTCAGGTAGTCAGCTGACAAGGTGATGAGCAGGCAGCAGGGTAGAGAACCCTTCCACTGGAAATGAAGTGTCTTCCCAGAATTATTAGGCTTTTAAATCTTTCGCTCTATTAGAAGGAGTGGCTGGGGGGAGAGTGCTGCATTAGAATTCAAATTTCATCTAAATAGTATTAAATCTCCTCCTTGGCATCCTGTTTATGCTAATCCTTGCAGGGCTTAATGATGTTTATCAAGACTTCCATTTCCTCTTCTTTAGACATGGGCCTCAGCTAATGAAGAAAGGTTGGCTTTATTCAGTAAGCAAGAGTCATAAAATAGTGGGCAGCACGCTACTGGTTTAGCCTTTCACCGAAGGAGCTTCGGATTTTTCAGGAGCCAGGGGATAACCTGTGCTGTGGCACATAGGTGATTTAAGACAGATGTGAAAGCTCACGCAACAGAGCAAGGCTGGTCTCACAGGCTACCATGTCGGATACAGATGGCTGGCAATTGAAGGCTAAACCTCCCCACTTCATCTGCAGCCATCTGCGAGGGTAAAAATGGATATGCTGTACGTCCTCATACATAAACTGCTCTGCTCTGGGGAGGGTGGGGAGTGCTGGCAATGTTTCAGGGTTCTGTGCTGCTGGCTTTGACAGCCTTCTTATGAGCGCTGAGGTTCGAGTTTGGGAAGGTACCCCCCACCTCCCACTCTGCTCAATGCCAGAGCATCAAGAAGATGGTTCCCATGGAATGTGGCTTACAGGAAGGATGTTTGGGTGTGTGTGTCCCTAGTCTCCCACAATCCTGGGTCGAGAGTGCAAGGCCCTGTGCAAAAGTGAATCTTTTCAATTCCAACAAGATAGGCAAAGAAAGGACTTCTGCAGCCCTTCCCCTTCCTGGCCCCACCTCCTTCCCCTTCCTGGCCCCACCTCTTTCCCCTTCCTGGCCCCATCTCCCCACTTGGGTTCTTTAGCTTGCATTTGCTTTAGATCTCTAGGGCAGTCTTCCCCCTCTGCCCAATTCTCCTGGATTCCTGCTTCTCTAGTTTTCTTGTTGCCTGCTCTTCTGTCACCTCTTTGCCACATGGAGGCACTACCTATGTGCTCCCCTATACGTGACATGCAAAGGGAAGGCCATAAACAGGCAGTAGTTATGTTCCTTAGGACAGCTCACAGCTGTTTTGTTTTTTAAATGACTCAAGCAAAGCACTACTTTCCCAGTTGGGCTACATTGCTTGTCACTATCTATGTCCTTGACCGGGGACCTTTTCCTACAGAGCTCAGTATACATTTTTCCCACCATGGGACTCTTTGAGACTGATACGAGGAAGAAGCCAGTGTCATAGGGCTGAAGAGGTCAGTATGTCCACTCTCTTCTCTTCCTATGACCTTATCTCTACAGTTTTGGCTGCAGAAGGGAGACGGGGCCAATCACAGGAGTGATTCAAGTACGGACATCGCTATGAATCGATGGCGTGGGGTGGTATTATCTATCCTGGGGCATTGCAATTTATCTATTTATGTCCAAACTAGATCAAGAAAAAACATGTCTTATGACGATCTATAAAAGGTTCATTGAAAGAGACTGGAAAGGGAAATTACAACAAATAAAAAATAAAAAGGATTAACAGGCTGGGAAGAGGGCTGCAATTGACGAATTTGTGTCCAGAAGAGGCACCCACATTTTGTACAGCAGAATATGCATCTGGCTCTGAGCTTTCAAGCAGGCAGTACAGGGAGGAAAACACACCCAGTTAGATGAACTTGGGAGTCTGCAATACAAAACACAGGCCAGTGGGCCAAAAGAAACATGTTCTCAAGTACTGAAGCCAGGGGCAAGGGGGTGGTTCTTCCTCTCATTCTCACAGAAGGGCTTTGCATGACACAGTGGCCAATGTCATCAACAGAATCTTGACAGTGGATTTATCAATTAGGGCTGTAGAGAGGCAACATCACACCCAAGACCAAAGTGGGAAAAGTCCTTCTAACAGTGAAAAGTGAAGTTAGAGTTAGGAGGTGCTGGCCTCATGGTGGGTACCACGGTGTTGACACTGTCTCCCTTGGGTATGTGTGAGAGAAAGCGAGGCAAGGAGAGGATTCAGTACAATTGTCTGAAACAAGCCTTCATGGTTACTGTTGGTGACCTGGTTGTGGATGGGCTGCTTTTACTTCAGGTCCTCCTGAGCCCACACCACGTCCTATGAGTGGCTTTGCTGGCCATGCCTTTGGTGCATACTGTCCTTTAGATCTCAGGAAAGGACAGAGTTAAGAACTCTGAGAGAACCATGAAGGGGGTGGGTCTGCTGTATAGCTTTAGAAAAATTGAGAGGCCCGAAGAGCATCTTTGCATTCAAAGCTACCTCCTCTACACGAAACGGAATCTTGGATCTGTGCCCACAAACCGGCCCAATGGGATTGGGGCCATAAAGTTATAGGGCATGGGTTTAATACTTTTGCCATCTGAAAAGAGATCCTAGGTTTTTCTCAGTAAGACACCTATAAGAGGTTTACTCTGATTACATATGTGTATTCATGGTACAAATGCAACTGAAAATAATTACAAATCGGCAACCAGATTAATCTGCTACCAAGACGCTACAATAAATGCCAGATGTTTTATGTAGAAAACAAAACAAGCCATCTACCCGAATATCCAAAACAGTAGCCCTGTACTATGACATGAAAATAAAAAAAAATGTGCATATTCTCAGGATAATAAAGGCCAAAGGAGGTCACTAGCCTTAGGTTCAACCAAAGACACTTGCAAATGGCATTCAGTTCATCAAGAGGTCATTGTGATTTTAAGTACCTGCTATGTTTTGATATCTCTGCAAGTGTCAGAAGCCGAGATCATTGAGTTCATGGAGCTTAGCCCCTTCCTGCCCACGGAGCCCCAGACAAGGGCAAATCAACAAACACAACCGAGAGGCCGCTGTGGGTTATCCTGTGGGTTATCCTGTGGGTTATCCTGTGGGTTATCCTGTGGGTTATCCTGCCCCGCTAGCTAATGTGCTGAACAAAGGCTGCTGCAGAGGCTGGAAACATGGCTGTGTCAGGGGGGCAGTCTGTGGAGCATGAGTGTGGTCTTCATTTTGGGGCAGAGTGTGGGAGAAAGGAATGGTTGGTAATATGGAAGAGCTTTGTAAATTATGGGCTGGATCTTATTCTGTGCTTGGTCAGAGCCTACCATCATGATGGCTCTCAAACTGTCCCGGAGACAGACAATGATCTGAGTATTTCCTTCCCATGGACTTCCCCATCAACTCTTAGGCAAGAGGCTATGTGGTTCAGCTGATGTACCTTTTACATTTTAATTGAAAAAAAAATGGGAATGAGTCTATTTGCTCATTGTGCTGCTTTGAGAAATTAGTAAGATGAGAAATAGAACTAAATTCATTTTTTTCCCCAGAAACAATGTAACAATGATAAAAAAAAAATAACACTGTGGAGTGAATAGTAGCATTGGAATAGTAATTTAAAATGCAGAGCTGCCCACTGCTTACTTCCCAATTTCAAGAAAGTGTAAGTTAGACATTATAGATACAAAGTATCAACATCAATTTCCTTTGGCCAACCAGGGTGTCACTCATCTAGGTAAAGAGGAACATCAACAAAAGCTAGACAGGGACATATCTGGGCCATATTAAACCTTGACCTTAAAGATCTCCGTGCTGTTTCCTCTTGGTTAGCTAGGCCTTGTACTGGATAGGCCTGGGTCATTCTGCCAACCCCTCACCCCAAACCCGTGTTTGGGATTTACCACTCTACCTGATCCAGACAGTTGCTACGTAGATACCTCAGTGCTTGTTGAATGCTCTGAGGCAGGGGCTGTCCTGTTCTCTGGACGTGGACTATGAGCGGAACACCGAAGACAGCCTTGTCTCGGTAGTCAGGAGCTTTGATCCTCTTCATGAACTTTGGAACGGACCTGGAATTCATAGAAACCAGGTCATGCAAGGCCCCCGGGGTGTTCTGTGCAGACAGGCTGTGGAAGCAAGCGAGAGGGAGGCCAAGCTCCTGTTGGAACACTTCAGAGGCAAAGGCAGAATTCAACCTTTTCTAGGTCACTCACAGCCCATGACACTCTATATGTGGCCCTTGCCTATGTGTCATTTCTGTTAAATGCCATGATTCACGCTAGAAAATTGTCTTTGTGGCTCTGTTTTCAAGTCAGGGGTGGTGGGCAATTTTTCAATTTAATTATGACTAAAACGGCTCTTATGTAGTGAACACTTAAAACTCTCCAATTGTGGGGAGGGAACGACAAAATCTATGCAAGATTTACAAGAGGAAGGACAAATTTGGTTGATGTTGGTGTGTGGGGGTGTTGAGCCAGATTTTCTTGGCTATGTCTTTAATTTTCTAGAGCCAGATCTACATTTTACAGGGAGTTTTAGCACACATGCATATAGTGATTTGACCATACAACTTACAACCTATGAAAATCCTTTTATAAACACGACATTGATTCTTCTATACACATTATATGACATAACATTTCATGTTTATCAAATCACGCACTCATCTATCCACAATAAGTCTGCACACAATATTGATTTTATCGGATCCTAAATTCCAAAGATATACTGCATTATCTCATTTTTACTCGCCAACGAAAGCACAGATGTACTTGAAGAGTCAGTGAGTCAGTGCTGGAAGTTCTGTGCCAGACCACAAGGTACAAGTGACAGATGTTTCTTTACAAACTGCCAGCAATATTTTATGCCAGGTTTATTTCTGATTCCTCTGTTCACAATTTATCACTCGTTACTGGCCTTGTTTCTTTCTCAGAACCTGACTCCCTTCCCTGGAAACCAATGAAGAGCTACAAATAAAGCAATGTTTCCTGTGTCCTTCATCAGGCTCAGCCTGGCTGCCCAGAGGGCAGATGACAAGCAGAAGGCTCCATAGTTTCCAGGAGAGGGTAGTGCAGACAGTGTTCTGTTCTCTAGACACCAAAATATAAACACTGGCAGTCTTTTGCAATTGTACCCTTAGCTCTGAACACGTGATCAGGGGCAGACGTGCTACATACCAGGTCCAGCCGTGCTTGTTGGACATGGAGTATTTCTCCATGATGGCTGTAAGACGGAGCAGCGAGAAGCGCTGGAGCAGGTTCAGTTGGCCGGCTGTCTGGCTGCTGATGTGTGGGGTGGCTGGAGACGGCCGGGGCTGGTGTGAGAGCTGGAAGCTGCTCCACCTTAGTCGTCTGAAACAAATGGTCAGAGCTACCAGTCACCTAGTGGATGGTAACTGGGAAGCTCAGGCTAGCCTTTAGGCTTTAGGTACAAATGGCTACTTTACGAGTTTCCGAGCCAAGAAAAATCACAGCGCAAAAGGAAAATAAAAGACAGAGCTGCAGATTTAGCAAGCTGGATAAACCCAGAATGGGGCACACTGACTGTTTCATCCTGGGATTTAAATAAGGGATATCAGCCATATATATATATATATATATATATACATATA